GACCGGGTTTTTCGTGGTGCGGCGTCTAGGTGAGATAGGATCTTGGGAACCAGCCGTCTTGGTAGAGCGGTATTGGGGGGGCGCCGAGCTGGCTACCCTCCCCCCCTGTGGTTTCCGGAGGCTTGATCGCCCTGCGTTGCCGCAGGGTCTTCCCGTTTGAGTACTTTTCAATTTAGACCCAGTGCTGTGGAAGGGCGCGGACTTGTGCGGTGTTACCCCCTCGACGGGGGCTATCTCCCCTGGACTAGCCCAGGGAGGGAGAGGCGGAGGAGGGTAGTAGTCTCAGGAGGCTGTTTGGCGTCTTGTGGTGTGAGCTCTTTGCGCTCTTTTTTGCGTGAGGATTTTTGAGCTTGGTGACCTCCCCAGCCCGGGAAGACTCGTCGGGCTCCCGGTCGCCCAAGTCCTGGTAGCGAGCTCTCTGAGATGCTCGGTTCGTTCGGTCGGCAGGAAGAGCCCCCCAGTTGCGACTTCGTTTATGTTAGGAGACCAACGGGCATAGATCCCGTCTAGTTGGAGCGCCAAACAAGCGCTGTTGCGTGCCGGCCGTCGTTTCCCGTGCGGCCTGACCCGGGGGCGGAGTGCATGAGACTAACCAGCCGTATGCACCCGCCCCCCGCGCTGTGCTTCGGCCCTGGGCCCCCGGCTTTTCAGCCCACAGTGTAATCAACGTCATACATACATACATACATACATACATACATACATACATACATACATACATACATACATACATACATACATACATACATGCATGCATACATACGCGTACACGGTTACACAAACCTCATCTTCCTGTTTTCTCCGCAGCCGGGCCGCCTCCCGCTCTTTGAGCTGCTCCGCCACTGCCACGGTGATTTGTTTGGCGGTCTCCTTTTGATGGGCCACACGCCGCTCCTAATAAGGCAACAATCCAATAATAAACAAAAACAATTTTATAGTAACAATAATAGTAAAAAAATATTTTTTAATAATAATGGTATAACGTAAAATTTACGATACGAAGAGACAAAGAAAGAAAGGGAGAGAAAAATGAAATGCAAAGAGACTGTAACGTGCAAGAGCAGTTGCATATCTCTGGACGATTCTCTTCAAAGGGGTTCACGTAGCTATTCTCAAGACTTATCTTTAAACGATGTCGTACAATAGTACACTGGATGTCGTACACTGGATGGCTACATCTTCGCTGGTGTATCGCATCCGGTGTCTTTTGACACCACATTGACTGGTTGTGATATTGTGGAGTAACGTTACATGACGTAAAAAGCAAGAAGAGGAGGACCGCTCTTAAAACGCCTCAGGCACCTGTGCAGCACACGTGCCAATACACACACAGAGGGTATCGCACCTCCTCCGCCGCTCGCTCGTCCTCCCGCTGCTTGTAGTACCGTTCCACCAACGGTGTGTCCAACCACCTTCTGCGTGCCTCCCCCTGCCGATCAGCGGCATCTTGGAGCATGGCCTGATGGCGCTTGATGCGGTCCATCCTATAACAATAATAATTAGGATGCAAAATAAAGGAGGAGAAGAATGAGTTTAAATAAAAAATATCACAAAAAAGGGACGAAGGGAAAAAGAAAATAAGGCTGATTAACCTACCACCATGGAAAGAATGATAATTCAAAAGGAATAGGCCCGAAAAATACACAATCTACAAACCTAATGTACATTATACGTGCATATATGTGCATATGTTCCATATGTTCCACATGCACATATATGTATATGCATATAAAATGCATATCACATGCTTATAAAATCAATAAAAATTCTAAATTACAGTTCCAAGGCGAAAATCCTTAAGCGATTATTAAAGCCTACAGCCCATAAGAGGCCACCCATTAACACCCTAAGCTAAAACTACTCCCCCCTCCCCTGGCGAGGCCGTGTCACTCACTGCTCCTTCCGGTCCGCCTCTTGCTTGTTTAGGATGGCCTCCCACTTCCTCTGGAAGGCCGCATCCTCCACCCACTGCTGCTTCTTGGCCTCCTCCTTAATCGCCTTGTTCACCTCGTTTTCCATCAGGAAATCCCGGAGGACCTGAGAGAGAGAGAGAGAGATTGACAGCGGGGGTGGGAGACAGAGGAAGTGAGTGTGAGTGTGTATGTGTGTGTGTATGTGTGAGTGTATGTGTGAGTGTATGTGTGAGTGAGTGTGTGTGTGAGTGTGTGTGAATGTGTGTGTGAGTGTGTGTGAATGTGAGTGTGAGTGTGTGTATGTGTGAAACAGGTGGGTGTATCTTCGCCCGTGGCAGCTACCCTGCGAAACCCTGCCTTCCCCGGTATTTCGGGGCACCCTCATCCAGTCACCCTAGTCAACTTCTCAGTGGATCGCTCAGGTTCCGCACCCACCACCAGCATCCAACGGAATCTGCCGGGTCGACAGCGGCCCAACTCCGCTCCTGGTCGGCTCGCAGGTTAACTTTATCCCAGGTCACCATCGTCCATCAACTAGGGGCGCAATGCCTTCCACCATCGGAAGGACTTTTGACCCTAATGGGTATCGATCCCGGGATCTCCCGGGGGCAATGGTCGCGCCTTACCAGTAGTGCCAAAACCTACTATATATGTGTGTATGCATGTGTGAGTGTGTGAGTGTGAGTGTGTGTGAGTGTGTGTGAGTGTGTGTGAGTGTGTGTGAGTGTGTGTGAGTGTGTGTGAGTGTGTGTGAGTGTGTGTGAGTGTGTGTGTGTGTGTGTGTGTGAGTGTGTGTGAGTGTGTGTGAGTGTGTGTGAGTGTGTGTGAGTGTGTGTGAGTGTGTGTGAGTGTGTGTGAGTGTGTGTGAGTGTGTGTGAGTGTGTGTGAGTGTGTGTGAGTGTGTGTGAGTGTGTGTGAGTGTGTATATGCGTATGTGTTAATATTCTGAGCCGCGACAAGAATGTGCTTAGGATGCATACATGTTTACATGCATGTATGAAGGTGGGAATGAAATGAAATAAGTTTGAATGTATGTATGTATGTATGGATTTTTACTACGAGACGAGGGTCTCGTAAAATTAGAGGTCAGGTCATTATCCTCGTAGTAGTGTACGACGCAAAGCAAAGCAAGCAAACCGCACTGGATGTCTGGATGTTGGAATTAACCATAAAACCCCAAAACCTCAAATTTGTTCAAAACAATGCAGTGCAAAGCGAAGCAAACACCAACCACTCCGAATCCAATCCTTCCAAACATGCGGCATGTGTGAATGTGGCTAAAGCTGCAGCTACAGCTAAAGTACTTGCAGCAGTAAAAACAAACGCAGATCAATCAGAGGTGAGAGGTGAGGGGTGAGAGGTGAGTATTTTTTGTATCGCATATGCCGTACAACGCCCCACGCCACCTCACCAGCTTGGCCGCGACGCGATGCGCCTCCTCCCGACGAAGGTCCTCAGCCGTGTCGTACGCCGTACGCGCCGCCTCCAGGGCCTCCTCTGCGCGTTTCCGTGCCAGTTCTGCTTCTCGTCGCGCCATTCGCTCCCCCATCTAAGGACAAGAGGACGGGCCAGGTGGTTGTACGGATGAATGTACGGATGTACGGATTAACAATATCCGCTACACTTACGTTTAGCTCTACATATGCCTCCTGAACAATTCGCTGTTTTCTGATTTCTCTTTTACCATCAACTTGACCCCACGATTTAATCTAACAGATGCTGCCGTACTCACAAAACCCCGTTCCATCCGCACCTCAAACCATAAGCCCCGCCACTACCCTCTTCCCCTCCTCAATATCCTTCTCTCACACGCACACGCACATACACACATACACACACACCTGGTTTATTCGCTCCTCTTTTACTTTGACCATAATTTCCCGCCGTAACCGCTGTCGTGCCGCCTCCTCATCCTCCGCTTTCCGCAGTGCAGCCTGCGGCGGTTGGTGGTTGGTAGTTAGTGGTTGGGCTTCACCGGTAACGGTTAACGGACTATGCAGAGACTGTTTCCCCCCACCCGCCTCACTCTGCTGTCCCCAGGCGCCCGAAGCAACAACAAACCCCCCCGCACACACCCTCCGAGTTTCGTTTTGTTGGGCAGCCCCGTCTCCCTCACCCTACACACACACACACACGCACACACATACAGACATACAGACATAGAGACGTACAGACAGACACGCACCTGTTCTTGTCGGAAGTACGCGTCCTCCTGTTCCCGCTCCAACTGCTTTAACCGCTCGTTCTCAGCAATCTACCACATGATGTGAGTGGACAAGAGGGGGCGGGAAGGGGCGGCGGGGGGGACGCGTGGGCTGGACAGGTGCGTGTGTGTGTATGTGTGTGTGTGGGGGGGGTTATCTCACATTATGCGAGACCACCTCATCGACTCGACTGTGTGTAATTATTCCGAGCCGCGGAAAGCACTTCAGGCCAGACAGACAGACAAACGGACAGACAGACAGACAAACGGACAGACAGACAGACAGACAGGCAGGCAGATTGACAGAAAGGAAGATAGAGCACAGACACGTGTACAGACAGACACACAGACCTGCGCCTCCAGTTGCTGCTTCAGAGTAAGCTGTCGTGCCCGCGCCGCCTCCGCTTCCAACCGCTCCTTATAACTTCCGATGGCCATGTCGTACTTTAGTAACGCCAACCACTCGTCCGACGTCTCTGACCTCTTGGCGGCTGCAAGCCCGTTCTTACTTCGACGTGTACAACATCATGCGGAGATACGGGAGGTTGGCGGTTAAGAGGTTGGCGGTTGGTGGTTGGCAGTTGGTGGTTGGCAGTTGGGGTAGAGGAAGAGCGCAGGCAGGGGAGATATAAAGCAGGGAAGGGAGAGTCGAGGTGTGCAGAGGGGCCTCACAGGGGTGCACGGGGTCCGTACAATCACTCGGGCGTCTCTCTCCAA